AAAAAGATTAAAATTATTCCATTTGGGTTCCCAGGACAATACACTCGTAATTGGTAGGGAGTGAGGTCTCCCTTTAAGTCAGAGGACATTCTCACTTATAATCATCTGGGAAAGAGGCAGATCATGGGACAGAAAAGGCCTGAGAGTTGGGGAATTTTTCCTCTACCTATGCCACATTTTCTTGGAGCCTGATTTCAAGTAGTGGTGTGGAGCGTGCCTGAAGACTGTTTAAGAGATAGAAATTTTAAAAGACTAGCATTTTGTATTGGATGACAGGAATGTAGCTACAAAGGAAAGTATAATATTGATGAAAATTTCTTTCAGTCTGTGGATAACACCTAATATTTATATTTATGGTATTTTAGATAATTATAGTATAGTCTATTTAGTACGTTATAGAAATTATAATATAACTATATTATACTAAGTACTTGATAGTGCTTAATCATCTATCCTAACAACAAAGGCAAATTTTGTTTAGTGCTTAATCATTTATCCTAACAACAAAGGCAAAATTTATCTCATTATCTCCATTTTATAGTAGTCATATCTAGCACTCTGTATAAATTGTGGTAATTGAAACTACGCTCAGTGAGTTAAAAGTACGACTTTGTGTCTATATTTGGAACAAAGTTGTAATGGAGAACACAGAATTCTTCCCCTTGCAGGGACCACATAACCTCCACACCAAACATAATAGTAGCAAATGATCTCAAAATGACAAAAAGTGATTAGAGAATCACTAGAGTCAATAGAGAAGAAGTTCTGAGCAGAGAAGAAGTTCTGAGCAGAGAAAAGATTCATATTTGGAACCATATAATCCAGAAGACAATTGGGGGTACACGTTGCATCCTGACGGACTCCAGAGCACCTACGAGAAAAGATCTTTCCTTTCAACTTCAGAAGAAAATACTTGAGAGAAGAAAATGTTGTGGGTTTTTTAAAAAAAAGCTTGTATTTTAGGTTCAAGGATACATGTGCAGGTTCATTATATAGATAAACTCACATCACAGGGATTTGTTGTGCAGATTATTTCGTCACCCAGGTATTAAGCCTAGTACCCAAGAGAAGAGAATTTTGAAAGGGATGGGGGAAAAGGTGAGATGTTCTGCTACCTGTAGGCAGGTGGAATGTCTCTAGCAAGCTGACAGTAAGCAGTAATCACTGTAGATAATCTTTCTTTTTTTGAGACAAGGTCTGGCTTGTCACCCAGGCTGGAGTGCAGTGGTTAGATCTCGGCTCATTGCAGCCTCGACTTTCTGAGCTCAAGCAATTCTCCCACCTCAGCCTCCTAAGTAGCTGAGAATACAGGCACATGCCACCACACCTGACTATTTTTTGTAGTTTTTGTAGAGACAGGCTCTTGCCATGTTGCCAAGGCTGGTCTCAAACTCCTGGACTCAAGCCATCTGCCCACCTCAGCCTCCGAAAATTCTGGGATTACAGGCATAAGCCACTGTGCCTGGTCCTACTGTAGATAATCTAAGTGTTTGTGTATCTTACTGATAAGTTAAATATTCTGCCTAGCCAACTGTCACAGAAATGAACTTTTTGAAATGATGGGGTCTTGCTATGTCCCCCAGGCTGAACGCAAACTCCTGGGCTCAAACCATCCTCCTACCTCCACCTTCTGAGTAGCTGGGACTACAGTTACGTGCCACCACACCCAGCTCTAAACGAACTCTCTAGCAATGATGAATTAAATGTACAAATCTTATCAGAATACATGTGACTATGGTCGTTGCTGATTTTATACCCATGTCCAAATGTAAGAGTTGAGGAACCAGTACTGAAGCACGGCAGAAGGCACAAGCCTGTCAGGAGGCCTGAGTTTTCTTCATATTACACTTTTAATTCATTGTATGACCTTGAGCAAATCATTTAATTCCTCAAACACTACTCTTTCTCAACCATAAAACAAAGTTTATCTGCCTCTCAAACATCCATTCCAGTTATGGGTTTTTTCCCTGCTAATTCTGTTTAACTAAAAGCAGATCATCACTTAACTGAATGTTTAAAAAGTTTTAAAGCTTACCATGAAGATTCTTGATGTCAAATTTGGTGAAAAATTGCACAATGATAAATTCCCATAACCCCTAAGATTAGCTTGGTAATTTATTTAATACATTTGTAGAAAAAAAATTAAGTAACTCCCCTCAATTTATTATAACCTACCCATATTTGAGTTATTACTTTCGGAGACAGTCAAATGCCTAGGCAGACAAAAAGGGGTCCCCAGAAAATCTCCCACCTGCCCCACAAGTGTTTACATCAGATGCTTTTGTGCAGATGAGGGAACCTGCCCAGGGCCTTAGCATGCCCGCATGCGCACTGGGGGAATGGGGTGGAACCAGGGCAGGGGAAGGAGCCTGGCCTCTTCAGTTCCTGTGTGGTGGCCTGGGATTCAATCTGTGAGGTGCTTTTTCAGTCCCCTGTAGTAGCCTGGGATTCATCCATGAGGTGGGGGCCTGATAACAGGACTCCCATCTCGCTTTGCTGAGTTTTTTCTTTTTTTCCTTTTGCCCAATAAAATCCTGCTCTACTCACCTTCCATGTGTCCACGTGTCTAAGTTTTCCTGGTCATGTGACAAGAACCTGGTTTTAGCTGAATTGCGGGGCAAAATTCTGCATTTCTAAATGTTTGCATTTGTTATTAAACTTTAATTGAACTGGTTATCAATCTTTTCTACTGAAGGGTCAAATTTAAACTTTTTTTCTGATTACAGAAGTATTAAATAATAATTGTCAAAACTGAGAAAATAGAGAAGAAAAATAAAGCTCCCAACATTCACAATCTTGAAATAATTACTGTTACCATTTTGATATTTACCATCCAGCCTTTATTTTCAAGAAACACGTGTAAGAAAGAACGTGAGAATGTATCTGTTTTGTTTTAAACATCATTTGGAACATACATATAATTTTCTATCCTGATTTTTCACACATTATTCAGTAAGCAGTATTCCATATTATTAACGTTTTAAAAAATATATTTCTTGTGTCTATGTAACAAGAATACACCAGCAAATTTCATCATCCTTCAATTTTTGAGAATTTAATTTGTTTCTGCCTCTTGGTATTTCCAAATGATTTCTCAGAATGAGTTTCACTATCTGCAGCAGTTTAGAATAGTATCATTTCATTGTATCCTTGCAAATACTGAATATTTCCATCTGTAAATCTTTGTTAACCTGACAAGTGAATCAATACAAATGACTAAAACATGCATTTTAATTTGCATTATTTTGCTTAGTGAAGTTTTTAAACGTCTTCTTCATTTGTATTGCTTCTGAGGATCATTCATATCCTTGAGATCAGATTTACTACAAAAAAATTATTTTTAAGTGAGATTTAGTTTTAATATAGGCTTATAGAATGCCTATAGGAAGTGCTCTGTCAAGTCTATAGCTATATTTTTTAATCAAACTTTTTATATTGAGACAATTGTAGTGTCACATGCAGTTTTAAGAAATAATATACAGATGACCGTGTATACCTTTATTCTAGTTTCCCCCAATGGTGACATGTTACAAAACTATTGCAATAACACAACCAGGATAACTGACATTAATATAGACAAGATGCAGGATTTCCATCCCTGACCCGTGGCAATCAATTATTCTGTTGTCCATTTATATAAACTTGTCAATTCTGAAATGTTACATAATGGAATTACACAGTATATAAGCCTTTGAGATTGGCTTTTTCTTTAACCATAATTTCCTACAGATTCATTTCAAGGTGTGTTCATCTAGTGTGTTCCTTTTTGTTACTAAATATTCCATAGGATAGATGTGCCAGTTTCTGTAAACCTTTATAGTTGAATTTTAATGACTATTTCATTAATACATTTGTCTAATTTCAAGAGTTGGAAGGAGAAAAGAAAATGCATTCAACTATTTAGGAAGTCATTCGGTCATCCCAACATTCACTGAAAGCAGACCATTGGGACAAATGTTATCCCATGCTTCTGATTACAAAAATAACTAAAACCCAAATAAAATAAAAATTAGTTAAGTAGCAGCGCTAAGATTGAAACCAGATAGGTATTTAAAGCAGCAAGAAAATGAGTTCAGAGAACATTTTATCATCAATAAAAACTTTCTAAAATCTAACAATTTTTCTAGGTTTAATTAAACAGGCTAAAAACTTGATGTGTCCAGTCCATGAGAGCATCCTCCTATCCACTGGACTAGGTGTCTACTAAGCCACATCTTATATCTATTTGAGGCCAACTGTCTTGAGGCCAAACAAGACGCGAGTTACATGGTAGCATTTGAGAGGGCTGCGGACCCATCAGAGCAGCCTTCTCTTCCCATCTACAGCAGTTCTGGGCAGCATGCTTGGAATGGCAACGCTGGCGTCCCCGAAAAACCCCAGCCCTCTTGCCAATTTCGTCTGAACCCCAACTACCCGACCCCAAATTATTTGAAGATCTGATTTTAAACAAAACGAGGCCAATAGTGCACCATTATTGTTTCCCTAAAACGCTAACAGTATGGAGATTAAGACACAAACCAGAGACCGGAAAAAAATATTGGTGCGTTCAAAGTAACCTCAGTTCCCGACTCTATTCTCCACCTATGGTGCAATATTAACAAAAACTAAGCACACCATGCAGAGAAACGCCCTTTCGCACTTATAACTTCCGGCCTGGGACTCTAGCTCCTCACACGCCTTTGATACAAAGTGCGAAGGCTGAGCCTTAACCATGCCAAGCCCAGCGTCCTCCGGACTAGGATGCCCGAAACTGCAATGAGAGAGGGAAATTTCCTAGTCAGGTCAAGGTCCAACAAAACAAACGTCCGCACGCAGAAACTGAACCGTATCGCAGGCAGAAGCAGCTGAACCAGCAGCGAGCGGAAGTGACGCAAAGGCCGGTCACGGGAGAAGGCGGGGCCCCGAGGCAGCGCGCCCAATTGGGGCGCGGTAGAGGCCGGGAGTGTGGCAGCGTCGGCGGCGAGCGGGGGCCTGGGGGTGCTGGGGGGCGGGGCCAGGGTGTAGGCTCGCGGGGACTGGCCTCCTTCGGCAGCTGGAGGCGGTCACTCGCGCAGGGCTGGGGGCTGAGGCAAGAAGGGCCATGCTGGCGGCGAAGGAGTCTAGACCCTTCAGTCCGGTGCTCCTCCCTCGCGCAGCGGTGGCTCTACGGCCGCGGGAGTAAACACTGCCTTTGTTCCCTAGCGCCTCGTCTCTTTCGTCGCCCCGTCCCCTCACGCCGCCGCGCTCCGGCCGGCCCGCCCTCGGTCCCTGAACCCCATTTCGGCTCGTGCCGCGCGGATGCGGCTGCCGGGCCTGGGATTGGGCATTGAGCGGGAGGAGGAGGAGGAGCGGCGGCGCCTGGGCGGCATGCGATGGGGAACTGCTGCTGGACGCAGTGCTTCGGACTGCTCCGCAAGGAAGCGGGGCGGCTGCAGCGAGTAGGCGGCGGCGGAGGGTAAGCCCGCTGGGGGAGGGGCCCGGCCCCCGTGGCTCCTCCTATTCGGCCCCCGGCGGGGAATCCCTTTCGCTGTCCCCCGGCTGCTGGAGGTGGCGGCCGAGAGCCCTGCTACACTCACTGCTTAGCAGACGTCAGACGGGTGGTCGTGTTGGAGGCCCAGTGTGGGGGCCGGTCTCTGGGCCTCCTCGGAAAGAGGTAGAAGAGGGGGCGGGGTGTCGCTCCTGCCAGGGCACCCTGTCACGCGGGGAAGGAGTCACGGGAGACATCATCTCCAGGAAACAAGGGGTAACCTCGCGCTAATGGGCTGTAGGATCGGCTCCAGGGCAACCTGGACACACCCTGCGCTGAGCTTGGGTTTAATGCCAAAGCTAGTATCCCTGTATCTGACCCTCTCTTTAGCCCAGGCAGAGCAGGTGGGATCTGGCTACGGACTTAATGCCTCAGATTGATTTTACGTAGAAGTCATTTGGATGCTGGAGTAAAAGAAGGTTTCAGATACTGATGAACTCTTTGATAGCTACAAAGACTTGCTGAATTGCAGAGTTCCCAATGGGCATTCAGATTCTTGGTGCTGGTAACGCAGGGGCTATGTGTAATTTTTTCATATTAAGTTTTTGAAATTTCGAGAGGAATTCCTTTCCCTGATTGCTACTCAAACGTCCTATAACATCAGGTAAATTGCAGTCCCGAACTTAACTTCTCTTAAGTAAACCTGGGATATGCTTAGGTTTTGTATATGCACCATCCACAAAATAGAAATTTCATAATTCCATTTTTGTGTATTTTATTTCATAGATATTGAAAAAATTAGAGCAAATTCCTTTGGGGTTGACTTTGTTGTTATTGAAAATCTGAATCAAGCCAGTTTGTGTAAGGACTATTTTGCCCTTTCTGAAACATTGCTAATTTTTCATAATCTGTTCCATTTAACATTATTGGGTAATAAGATGTTCAACATAAATAAATTGAACTAAATGATCATGATTTGAATCTTTGGTAATGGAGATCTTATAAAATATAATAGGATTCTCATTCATTAGGCATTGTGTTACCTCTCTGATACAAAGTAGCTAAGGTTTTACACTAATTATCCCTAGAATGGAAGGGCAAGGATTTGCAGTTTGTGCCTAGTTTTAATATTTCGATTTCCCTAATTTAAGAGTTCTTACTGTTGAGTGGGACATGACAGCTGTTTTATCTTGTCATCCAGGATCATCTGATTTAAGTATTTCTAATTTTTATGTGTGAATGCAATTTACAAGGTCAGGCTGCTTAAGTAGGCTTGCCCAAAAACTAGATACCACACAGTCTTTGGCTTTTACTAGTATTCGTAGTTGTGTTACAGGGCGTTAAATTCTAGCTCTAAGAAAGTTGGTTTGTGGGGAGCAGTACTTCTAAATGGATGAACAAAAAACTTTGTACTTGACTTTGGACTACATGATGTGTCTGTGGGACTTTAGTTTTGCTTTTTTTATGTGGTCTCCGTAGAGTACAGCGTTAAAATTGTATGTTCTACTCCCTCAGCTTATGAACGTGGCAGCATAGGGAGGTGGCAGGAGGAAATCCATGAATCAGCGTGAGTGTTAATTGTCTGTAGATATGCCATAAAAACATAAGCAGGTTGACTATGAGTATTTCTTTTCTTTTCTTTTCTTTTTTTTTTTTTTTTTTTTTTTGAGACAGAGTCTCGCTCTGTCGCCCAAGCTGGTGTGCACTGGCGCCATCTCGGCTCACTGCAACCTTCGCCTCCCGGGTTCAGGCCATTCTCCTGCCTCAGCCTCCCAAGTAGCTGAGACTACAGGCGCCCGTCACCACACCTGGCTAATTTTTTTGTATTTTTAGTAGAGACCAGTTTTCACCGTGTTAGTCAGGATGGTCTCAATCTCCTGACCTCATGATCCGCCTGCCTCAGCCTCCCGAAGTGCTGGGGTACAGGCATGAGCCACCGCGCCCGGCCAGCAGGTTGAGTATTTCTTACCTGAAATACTTGCTTTGAAGTTCAGATTTTTATTCAGATTTTGGAATATATGCATTGTATATGGTTCAGTATCTGAAAATCTGAAATCCAGAATTCTCCAATGAGCATTTCCTTTGAGTAACATTTTGGCAATCAAAAAGTTTCGGATTTTGGAACATTTCAGATTTTGGGTTTTGAGGTTAGGTATACTCAACCTGTGGTTGGATTTTTACTGTTTGTGGGCAAAACTCCTTGAACAAGTCCTGTGGAGGCAGTGAGAGTTTATAGGTTGTGGACACTGTCATCTAAAATCATATAATGGTGATATTAATCCTATTACTTTAAGTCTATAAACATAGGATTTGACAGTTCCCTTACTTGAATTTTCTTTTTTTTTTTTTTTTTTTTTTGAGACGGAGTCTTGCTCTGTCGCCCAGGCTGGAGTGCAGTGGCCGGATCTCAGCTCACTGCAAGCTCCGCCTCCCGGGTTCACGCCATTCTCCTGCCTAAGCCTCCCAAGTAGCTGGGACTACAGGCGCCCGCCACCTCGCCCGGCTAGTTTTTTGTATTTTTTAGTAGAGACGGGGTTTCACCGTGTTAGTCAAGATGGTCTCGATCTCCTGACCTCGTGATCCGCCCGTCTCGGCCTCCCAAAGTGCTGGGATTACAGGCTTGAGCCACCACGCCCGGTTTAACATCAATTTTAATACTGTTTTAGCAGCTTCCAGTAAGCATGTAGAGAGAGATGGACATAGTTACTTGTGCAGTAAGGTTAAACTGTCTCTTATTTTAATTTTTTTTTAAATCAACTGTTTTGATTTTCTTTCAAGTATAGGTCTGGATAGTTAGTAGTTCTTCTAAAGGTGAAAAGTTGAGGAGTAGTCACAAAAACTTGATTTGATCCTATATGTCGTTGTAGTGACCACAGAAGAAGAGAGTGTCCTCAACTTTTTTAGCTTGATTTAAGCTAGACTTCACAGGGATGCTTTCTGATCTGAGGCCTGGTTTCTGAGTCTTGCAGATCGACATACCCCTGAGAAATCTGAAACTCAGATCACTCATTTTTTACTATTCAATCTGAAAACCAGAATTACCACTTTTTCAGTTTATAAAATACTAGGGAATTCTAGTATTGTATATTCTAGGATATGTTTCACCGGTCAGAATATCAATATCAGTGTTGAGGTATGTTGGAAACCTTACTACTAATACAATTATTTGGTGATTAAAGCAGAGAGAATTAAATGTCTTTAAGGAAAAAAACCTAGGCATCTTAACGACTCATACTTCTTCACTGGAGTTTTGCCTGCCAACACTTTCTACAGGGCTCCATCTGCTGGTCAGTTCTCCTGTTTCTCTGAGCAGGCCTTTGTATATTTCTTAGTTTTTTTTTCTTTCTCAGATGGAAGACCGAATTAAGTTTTATTGTGTTGTATTTAATTCGTATTTCTATATTACTATATAATTCCACATAGTGATTCCACTTAAGATAAACTATAGTTTTTATAGAAAGGTATAACCATATTTTATATCCTTATCAATACGTAATATTTGTTCGCCTTTTTGGCTCTGGCAGCAAAGTTGCTTTCAGGCAATAGTTTACAGTGATTTGCTTTTCCATTCCTAGTAAAAATGTTTTTAATAATAACTGCTAACAGTCCATTACTTCCTATGTGACAGGCACTGTTCTAAGTAGGGCAAGTAAGTATACATATTATATATATTATAGGTTGAAAACTGATACTTAGAAAGTTGAACTTTCCCAAGGTAGCAGAGCTGGGATTGCAACTTAGGTCCCTCTGAATTCAGAGTTCTTATCCTTAACCACCACAAATAGTTCATGGCACTTATTCTATAGGTAAACATTTGGTTGCTATCTCTCTCATTGCAGTATCTTGAACTTTGTCACCAGAAGAATTTATGAATATACCTGAACAACTTGACTCTTTATTCTGTGTGCTAAGCTGTCTTTTTCTTGAACCTATGCACTTCACTTCTGCAACATCACCTTTATCTTGTTTTTCTGTTTCTCTCCTAGCTATTCTTACTGTCTGTTAAATGTGGGATTTTTCCTGTCTTCTCTCTTTTGTTTAATTTCCTTCATATGTGTATTACCTGCCCCTGAAGAAAGTTACCCATTTCTATGATTTCAACCACCACTACTTCCAAATCTCATCTTCTGCTTATAGATCTTTTCAGTTGTCTACCTAAGAGGAACTCTTGGATATATTCAATTAAATCTCTATATATTATTTTCAGTCTCTCCTTAAACATACTGAACCTATTTTCTTCCTGTCTTCTGCCATAAACATAGCCTTTCAAACTGCTTAGTCAGCAGCTTCCAGACTACTGTCTCTATTGTAGCTGTCATACTTCAGCCCACCCTCCCTTCCTGTCATGACTTAGGCTTTCTAAAAGCCACATTGGATTGTTTCTTTCCTTTGTTCAGCAACTTCCATCTGCTCCCTGATTCCCATAGCTAAATTTCTAAGTCTTTTTTTTTTTCCAAGAAGGAGTCTCGCTCTCTTGCCCAGGCTGAAGTGCACTGGTGCGATCCTGGCTCACTACAACCTCCGCCTCCTGAGTTCAAGTGTTTCTCTTACCTCAGCTCTGCAAGTAGCTGGGATTACAGGCACCCGCCACCATGCCTGGCTAATTTTTTTATTTTCAGTAATGACAGGATTTTACCATGTTGGACTGACTGGTTTCGAACTCCTGACCTGAAGCAATCTGCCCACCTCGGCTTCCCAAAGTGCTAGAATTACAGGCATGAGCCACCGCGCCCGGCCCTAAATGTCTAAGTCTTTTTTCCTTCTGTAACAGCATGATGAATTACATGGCATTCACATGTATGGCATGATGTCCATTTGTATGCTCAGGATTATATTTAGTTCTATATTTGGGTTTCTATAATCTCTTTGTCAAAAAATGTCAGGATACTAATCAGTGAGAAAAACATTAAAAGAATAACATTAAAGCTATTCTAATTTCAAAAAACTTGTCATTCATAAATCTTAGCATTTTAACATTTTTGATAAAT